AGCCCCAGTTATTCGCTTTTTGTTGTGGCCTGGACGCTTGTTGCGGTGCGGCGCATTCGTCTGAGGAGCAACGCGCGCGATGATGCCCGTCATCCCCGCCGGCGTATCCGACTCGATTCCTCGCTGACACGTCCAGTGAGTAGCTGAGGGGAAATGCGGCTCAGTTGGGTGGGGAGAAGTACCAGAACGAGAAGGATGTCCTCGGCTAAATGTGATGATGACTCGAAATAGCTGGAGATTCTCAAGGAATACTTTGGAGTTTCCTATGGAAGCGCACAGGTTTGCTAGACTAGAATAGGAATAGGCTCGGCCGACGATCCACCCGACTATGATTGATTCTCATGCGCTGAATGACGCCCAAGGGGCAACAAGTCGGTCATGTGGTCACTCCGACAAGACCACGAAGGAAACCCCTATCTATGGTATCCTGAGGACCTCCCCCGTTCTCAACTGACGAGGTGGACATGGCTGGAATCCAAGGGTGATGCGACATCCAAGTGTAGGGGAGATCGTGGTTGTTGAAGAGCACCCCTCAAGCTGCCCGCATTGACTTGAGAAGAATCGGAGCCCCCCCCCCCGTCCTCCTCCGATCAAGCATTGATATCGTAAGACGCAGGAAACCGTCTCGCTAGTGCATGCACTTTGACTCGCCTCATCAACAGACTCCAGCCAAAGCCGCAAGAAGACGTGCACTGCATATTGCGCAGCCAAACGCAACACCCGTGACCTTGCTTGCCGGCCGTGATGACCTCCAAAGCGCTTGAGACAGCCATTGGTGCTTGGCGTTTGGACAATCAGCCGGATGGTGTCACAGACATGCAAAACTGAACCAAGGCTGACGTACGAGTTGCTCCTTCATTCCCAAAAGACCCGAAGCAGCCCAAGTAAGAAAGCAAGCAGCGGGGCAGAGCCGACCATGGCAGCGACAGACGCGACACAGACGCCGGACGTGGACTACGTGCTCGTGGACTTCGAGCCACTGCACAAGCAGCGCTGGCGCAGCGACACCGTGCGGCTCGTGTGCGTGCAGTTCCCGCCGCACACGCAGAGTCTGTGGCACAAGCACCTCAACTACGGCATCTACGTGGTCATGGCGCCGCTCAGCGTGACGGAGCAGCCGCACGGCCAGGAGCCGCGCCCGCTCGTGCAGGACAAGGGCTCCGTCTTCTGCCGCGACCACACCAAGGACAAGCTGCTGCACGTCATCACGAGCCACGAGACGCCGCTCTTCATCGTGGAGGTGGAGCTGCTCAAGAAGAAGGAGGACGTGGTGGCGCACGACCACGTGACGCCGCACGCCGCCGTGGGCGTCGAGCTGCTGAACAACGAGCCCGAGTGCCGAGTGTACCGCCTCACACTGGGAGACGAAGATCAGTCGACCACCGAGATCTCGCTCAACCTGCCCACGGGCGCTGTGCTCGTCGTGCTGGACGACTGCGAGGTGGAAGTCACCAATGAATCAGAGGACCCCAAGGTCGAGGCGGAGAGGAAGCTGGCGCTGAAGGTGGCGGACGACGTCCAGCTCACCGCTGGGAAATTCAACATCAAGCTCGCGTCCCCCAGCGCCAAGAAGGCGCAGTTCATTCTGGCCGAGGTCTACTAAATTGCTCGTTCATGGCATGGAGGTGGCGGGCGACTTGGGATCTAATGAAGCACCAAGTTGGCGGCCAAAGCAACACAAGGAACGAGTCACCAGCGGCAAAGCTGGCAGTGTAGCAAAGTATGTGTACGGAACTGCAGGGCTTTAAACTGCTTTATCAGTGTAGCTAATCTACTCTTTATTGATGCAACTCAAAACGGAGCAAGTACACTTGTGTTGAGCTAAGACCACGCCAAACAAAAAGACGCTTACGAACCATTTTGTATGAGACCCGCTTCAGACGAAATGATGCTTACGAACCTGAGTACAAAGCGAGATTTCAGATTGGGTGCGACCATACCGTCGTCCCATGCCAAGCCAGTCCTCAAATCGCTCTGGAAACGAACAATCCCCCAACATGGTCAGCTGCAGCTCCACGACCGAGACCCAACCCGACATTGACTACGTGCTCGTCAACTTTGAGCCTCTGCACAAGCAGCGCTGGCGTTCCGACACGGTGCGTCTCGTGTGCGCCCAGTTCCCGCCCCACACGAGATGCCTGTGGCATCAGCACCTCAAGTACGGGATTTACGTGGTCATGGCGCCGCTGGACATGGTGGAGCAGCCGTACGGACAAGAGCCTCGTCCTCTAGTGCAAGACAAGGGTGCTGTCTTCTGCCGCGACCACACCAAAGACAAGTTGATTCATGTGGGCACAACCGGCGAGCTCCCCGCGTTCCTTGTTGAAGTCGAGCTGCTGAAGGAGAAGGCCGACATCGTCCCGAACGACAAGTTCCCGTTGCATGCGGGCAAAGGGGTCGAACTGCTCAACAACGAGCGTGAATGTCGCGTTTATCGCTTCACGATGCAAGACGACAAGGGCGACGACGAAGCAGTCTCCGAAATCTCGCTCGAGCTGCAGACGGAGGCCGTGCTGCTTGTCCTGGACAACTGCGAGGTAGAAGTCACGAATGAGTCGAGAGAGAAACAAGAAAACACCGTTCGCCAGCTTTCTCTGCAGGTTGGAGACGACGTCCAGCTCACTGCAGGCAAATTCAGCCTGAAACTCGTGTCGTCGAGCGAAAAGAAGACTCAGTTTGTCCTGGCCGAGATCTATTAGATCGATTAGTTACCCTTGCACTCGTAACTGCATCTGCACACGGCCAAAATCACCTGCAACGCGATCAATCTCCCTTATCAGCTTCTCTCTCACTCACATTTTGTTTTACATCTGCACGGCCCAGAAGTCCATTTTAAAGTCGTGCTTGAAGATGTACGACTGGACGAAGCCCGGGTCCGTGATCGTCGACGTCAGGTAGTTGTAAATCAGCGCGCTGCGCTCCGCCTTGGGGTCTTCAAACCGCAAGTCGTTCTTGCGAGCTTCATCAATGAAGAAGTTGGCAAAGAACTGTCCGCTCGCGATCCCCTCCCGCGAGTGGTCGATCACCTCGTAGGGCGTGCCGTCCAGGTACTCGCCGTACTCGAAGCTGTTCTTCTCCGGGTGGAACTGCACGGCGTAGACCGGGTACTCCTTGGCTTCAAAGGCCGAGATGAACTCCACCCCCTGCCTGTCTACGTTGGTGGCCAGCACCGTGTAAAAGTCCGTGAGGGACGAGTACTGGTTGAACCGCTCGGGGGTGATCCCCATCTCGTGGTTGTTCATTGTGATGGGCTTGTCCTTGAGCCACGAGTAAAGTTCGGGGCTCGCCTGGCTGAAGAGGCGGCTGGTAGGGGCCTCCGAGGTAAAGTTCAGGGGTAGCGTGATGTTCATGGCGTCCAGCCCCTTGGTCAGCGAGTCCATGTCCTTCGTCGTGAGCTGCACGAGCCACTCGAAGCCCAGACAAGTGGCCCACACGGGGAAGTGCACGCCCTTGTCGTTGAGCTCCAGCGCCAGCTGGAACAGCCGCTCGGCGCGGTCATTGACGGTGGCGGCGCCCCCCGGGAAGAGCAGCCCGTTGAGCTGCGGTAGCAGCTGCTCCAGGTACGGCTTGGGCGCGTTGTACGGGATGGGGACGACGCGGCCGCCGGCGCTCTCGACCCACTTGACGTACGAGGCCGCGATGTACTCGCCGTGCTGCGAGATCGGGTGCGCGAAGACGCCGATGATGGGGCCGCGGGGGCTGGCAGCGCACGTGAGCGACAGGCTCAGGGCGACGGACAGCAGCAGCGACCAGACCGACGAGAGCGCCATTTTCGCCTTTGGTCGAAGATCGGAGTACTAATTTGGTACACTCATCAGGGTACTGGCTTATGATTGGTCAGATACATAAATCTGATTTGTACAGACCTATTTATTGTGCATTTGACGTATTTTGGCTCACAAAATTCGCAGTAAGAGGAGCCATTTGAAACAACAGCAATGACAGTTGTACATTAAGAGTAGCGGCAATAAGAAAGGGCCAACAACTTATACTTCTGACAACACATAAATATTGAATTACACAGGGCCTCTATTTAGGTACTGAGTTTGTCAAAGTGATGTGGCACACACACAGCAGTCAAGGTTCCCGCGCATTTTTCAAACTCCAAGGACGGAGCCACAGTGGCTCAACCACTGCGTACTCGTATGCATCAACGGCCGTTGCGCACCAGCGCACCAGTGCTCCCGTCACACTTACTTTCTCTCCCACATTGCCCCGCAAACTGCCGCCAAGGAAGACCATGAGCGCCTGCAGGTTGATGCGGAGGTTTTGTCCTACGTGCACACCGCCGAGACGTAGCTACAGTAATGTGCGGTGGCCATGGACAAGCAGGGCGTCGTAGTGAGTCGCAACCAGTGTATTTGACGGTCGTGCGCCTCAGGAAGACGAGTACGACGATGATGCCAGTGTCTGTAGCGTCGAAGTCCTTCGTCGATCGGGCCAAGTAATAACGTACCTAACGTGTTTCATTTATTTCGTTAAATCAATACGTTTAAAGCTCCGCAAGATTTGATTTGACTTGATTATTGTAAATAACTTCAGTACTTTAATCGTTGAACCCTTTCTTATTGCCACTACTCTCTGTACCTTATCGCTCCTGTCCTAAGCGAAGTTTTCTCCTAAGTGAATTTCTATAATGTCCAATTAGAGAGCCGTATTACTGACATTTGGTTGATGCTTAACTACAGCGCTAATCAGCTAATTATGGACGACGGGTAAGCGCTCGTGTATGGAATCACATTATCCTGACTGCTCTTCACACCAACTCTAGAACATATGCAAAGAAGTTTAAGAACGTAGCAGCAGATGCCTATAGCCTCAAGCAATACACAGATGGACGCATATAATGCCCCAATCTCGAGTCATATGAACTTAAGCTAAATGCTAGATTTAGATACTAATCATCTGGTCAACAAGTTAACCCTAACGCTTAGAGCGTACATTCACGTTCGCTTAGGACAGGAGCGATACGGTACAGCATAGCAGAGCAAACGATTCATTAGAGCACAGAGCATGCTATCAGCGATAAGCTAACCAAGCAGCAGCGATAATTAAGAGGGGTGATTAGTCAACCAATGTAATCTGTGAGGAATCGACCGGATCGGGGGCAGAGTCGCCGTCGTATCGGCTAAGTTAGTTTATTGTACTCTTCAGAAGTCCTGACACCAATTTTCCGCCACACCCAAAAGGGTCTTCCACTGCAAAAACCTATATCGATATTTAGATATATAGGGTTTTCGCGGGCGCAGAACCCAAATATGAGGTCAGATTTTGCTAATTCGTAGCCGTTTTGCGCTATAAGGGCTTAGAAAAAGCTATTTTGCAGAAATAGAGAGCTATAATTGGCCAACAGGGCTATACATTGGTTTGCGAGGGAAAGGCACATCGCTAGTGCCTATCGTCATCTCGTGCTGCAGTTTGGTCATTTAACATCTGGTCCGCACCTCTATTTTTGGTCGGGTTGGAGTGACGCCCTCCCGGTAATACAATGTTGTAGCTGCGCAGCTTATTGACATATTTATGTAGTTTACGGCCGTACAAATAAAATACGATGAGTGAAAGAGTGGCTGCCGCGCCCTGGGATAGTTTTTACGGCATACAAAACGGTATATAGTTGCTCCGGCCCAAGTTAGCACTCCCATACACAACAAAACTCGCCATGTCAGACTTCAGCGACAACCAAGACGCGGTACTTGTTCGCCTGGTGCGTCCGTACCTGCAACAGCAGCAGACCATACAGTGGGACACGGTGGTGAAGCGAATGCGCGTGCAGACGAAGTCGAAACAAGCACTTTGGGAACGTCTCAAGACTCTCAAGCAGACCCATGGCAAGCTACTCGACCGTTTCCCAGCATCATACTTCCGCACACATAGTGCCTGGCAACCTACCCTGCGATGCCCCCCTCAGCCTATTACAAAAGGCATTATCAGCGCCCAGCCACGTACTCGACCTTCCCGACAAGCGCACGTTATCACTGAGGCTGTGTTTCGCGGTGTATCACAGCGTGATGTCCGACAACTTCCTGGGAAGCCGCATTTCAATGCTGGGGAAATCGCCTCGGGGGGCGTGACAATGTTGCTGAAAGTACTGAATATCGGCGCGGGCGCTACGTTTGGAGATATTGGGTGCGGCATTGGTAACGTCCTAGTTCAAGTTGCGCTAGAGTCCAGTGTCAAGGCGTGCATCGGTGTCGAAGTGAGGGAGGAGCTGGTAGCCGCAGCGCATAGCGCACTACTTAGTAACTCAACTAAGTACCCCGAACTACTTCGCGTCTCTATTTACCAAGTTGATATCTGCAATCTGGCCGAGGGTGTGTATCGCGCGCTTTCGGATTGCTCGGACGTCCTGGTGAAAAACATCGTCTTCGCGGAAGAAGCCAATTTAGCGCTAGAGCAGTTCTTATGTATGTCGACGGTCGCAAGTCAGGTGGTGTTAGGCCGCAAGATGTGCCCGCGCCATCGGAACTCATGTGGTCATGTGTTTTGCTTGCTATGGGACTTGGTGCAGCCCGTTCAACTAGAAGTCGAGTGGGCCAGCATCTCACATGAGTTCTACCTGTATCGACGAGCTCAACTTGCCTCATTCTGATCAATACATTTTTTCACCAGTCAATATACTCAGATGCAACGTTGTATTTAGTTGGTATGTAGCGACCCGCTCATCGTTACTCTCTCGCTAGTTCGCTTGTATCGGACAGTCCTCACATGTAGACCGTAGGGCACTCGGACAGAACAAGGGGGGATGTAATCGGTTCTTGATCTATCTCCTTGCTGCGCTTGTACAGACTCGACGACCGCCGAATGTGCCCACTCGGGTTGAACAAACCAGCGGGGAGGTAGTTCCCATGAAACTTCTTCCAACATGTCCAATTTTCCTGGTAAACAAAGCCCTTGGTGGGCTGAATAGGATGCGCTTGTGTACACAGTGATACCAAGTGTTTCGTACACCAGTCGGTCATCTCAGTCGGGTATCGGCCTTCAAACCGACATATCACGCAGCCACTCTTCGTTAGAGAGTCTGGAAATTGCACTTGAGAACGCAAAGGGTAGCATGGCGGTATGGGGCTTGAGGGGGCAACCCGGGCTTCCTTTCGATTTGCTCTGCTAGATGGGGTACGAAGAATAGCGAGGCCGGCCTCTGTAGGAGTCGCGTACATCAATCCTGAGTCGAGGAGCGTGTTGCGCCAAGCACCAGAGATCAGTTGGCCGATCAACTCCACCATAAACTCTCGATGGGGGCTCGGTTGCTTTTGCACCCGCCCACCACCTTTCGCGTGATAAATGCATTGCATCGAGCCAAGTCAATAAACACAAGCGCTAACTTCTTGTGCCACTTGCGGATAGAGTGGCAATCTGCCACGGAAAAGCGAGCTCGAAGCTGGTCGATACGATCCACGCCTTGGATAGCGCTGTTGTACTCTATCACGCAAGTAGGCGCCGGGAATGGGTGTTTTGCTTGAGCAACCTGCCAATACACCGTAGTCGATGTCGATGCGTCCGCATTGGAGACAATGTTCACCACGGATCCATCAAACCATGAGGCGGCGTCAATTTTGTTTCTTTCACTCACGGCTTGCTTCATTGCTCCGCGCGGTAAGTTGTCTTTCTTTGAGATCATAACCCAACGTGGATAGTGCTTGCTGTTCTCGCAAATCGCCCCGCGTCCGTAGAGACCAAATACTCGTAGCATCTCCAAAAGCTGACATGAAGTATAGTAATTGTCCGTGTTGACAATGCGACCAGAGTTGTGAATGGCTCTCGTGACTTCAGCAACACACTGTCGAACTTCTGCTGCTACCTCAGTTGCTGCCGCTAGTGCACGTGTGTCCGCCCCCGATACCACCCCGTCAAGACGCTCACTTAGCTCGCTTGAGCAGTGAAACCGAAAGTTAGCCATCAACCAGGACTCCGAGCAGCAGCACATATAGATCTTGAAGTGGTACTTCCGAGAGTCGGCTTCGTAGCGTTAAACACAATCAGGTGGCTGGCAAAACGCGAGCGGCATGCAATGCTGGACTCGTCAACAGCGACATTCCTCCCAAGGACGACAAACTTGGACGCTCTCACCTTCAGCATGTTCATCAACGGACGAATACGCGCGGCAGGATCGCGCTTCAAGTCCACATTCGAGACAGCACCACGAAAGAAGAGATTCTGTCGAATGAACTTGAACCGCGCCAGGCTCATGATGGAGTCTAACCGGACGCTTTCAGAGTCAAACATGTTGTCTTCCACTTGCTCACCCCAATAATCGCTGTACTCGCCCTTGTCGACGAGAGCCATGTAGAACAGTATCCCCAAGAACTTCATCATTTCATCGAGAGTCACCTACGGGCGCATCTGGTCTGCGGCATGTGCGCTTGTATTGTCAACAACTTTCTTCCAGAACGCTAGAGGTAGATATGCAAGAAAGCTGGACGCCGCCGAGTGCTTGAAGATGCTTTCAAATTCTGGTTTGCCGTACGGAGCCGTATCTCCTCCTTCGTGCTGAAATAGGTCGTCCGGGGAATTCATCGTGGCGCGTGGTTGAAATTACATACCGGATACGCGCTCGACCTCGCCCACATCTTCCGGAATGATTTCACTGCAGTCATAGCGTGCCAAGTCCTCGCTAACCTCCTGGAATGCATCCCACAAGTTGCTACCCTCGACCTCTTCATGGTACGGGAGACACAAAACATCCCAGGTCTCATCTCGCAACTCGTTACCACTTAGCCGGTTATGGCGCGCAATTCCTTCGAGGACTTTGGACCGAGTAATGCCATGCACATGCCTTGGCATTTAAAATTGTGATGTCGTCCACCGAAGTTCGTACAGTGGGTTGGCTCTCGACGGCTTCTTCTTGCCCTTTTCCACGTACTCACGAGCAATTACGCTAGTCAGATAAGCCGATCCAACACAACGGTAGTCTGTAGCAGGCATCCATTCTTCTTCGCTTGGCAAAACGACAACATGGGCGCCTATAAGGCTGGAGTCACCACTACTAGGCGAGCTGGTCTGTAACGACGACATATCCTCGGCTAGTGGATGTTCATCACCACCATGAGATGGGTTCGTTGCCGCGGTTGACCGACTGATCTGTTCCTGATCTGCATCTCGTCACCAACGGAATTGCTTCACCATTTGAGGCTTCAGATTGCACTCGGGCTCCCAGGTGCTGTCACCCGTATCGTAACCAGTCCATTTCACGAAGAACCGACCGTCTTTCTCCTTGATGATAGCTTCCACCTCATACATGTCATCTTCATCACTATCGCTGCAGGCATCATCAGACTGGATCGAGTCTTGCGCCTGAGGAGGCCGTCGTCGTGCTTTGCCGTTGATACTTTTTCTTGGTGCTTCCGTGGTGCTCGGCTTAGTAGTCTTCGATCTCTGCGAGCGGGTTGAGCGGTGCTCTGTCGCGCCGAACGCAGCAGCAAGCGTTCGCTTTGCGCGAGTCGGCGCCATCTTTGCTATGACTGAAGTAGTCAGCGGCTGTACTCGCATGGGGCAAACACTTTCAATTGAGTATTGCACGTGCGACATTGTCACAGCAAGTAATTTGCCCCACCCCACCTGTCAGTCCCACATTTACGGTAACCTTCATCATTGTCATTCACGTAAACAGCCAAACAACACACATCAATCAACTTTTCTGTGGTATTCTCATCAATATCTAGCACAAAAATTTCAGCGCATGTACGATCTGATGTCCGGCATCCATTTCATCGTAAACAAACAGGCACCACTCCGCCCGCACCCGCCACTGCTTTAGCAAACGCACGAACAAATTCACAGTCAGCGCCACACAAACAACGCGATAGAACAGATCACACACGCTCGTCTTACCGCAGTCGCTCCGCGCACGAAAGGCGTGAACGAGGGCTCGAACCCACACCGCTCACGTCGGGGCTGACGCGCTTGACCACTCGGCCGCTCCGAGGCTGCGTTCGCCGAGCGCGACGTTGTCCTCACGACCACTGGCGTTTTTCGGCTTTCTCGCAAGTATTGAAGGACAGTGTCCGCTCGTAAATAGCGTAATTACGAGTGCCCTCACCTGGAATAGCTTACGTGAAATTCTTGTCATTTATTTTAAGCTAACTGGAAACTTCGGGTGCACCACTCGGATAATATCGATTATAGCCAATCAAATGGATTTGCCGGAAATGGTTCAAAACCAAGCATTTATGCATGTTTTAGAGATCACGTCGGACTAAAACCCTTCAGAAACGATGGTCCAGGGAGCGGGCAGCGGGGTAAAACGAAGCATTTATGCATGTTTTGCAAGATTGTATAGGAACTGATGTATAATGAAACCAAGTCATATTTTGCCAATATAGGGTTAACGGCATGGCCCAGGAAGATGAACTGGACGCGCGACAAGACCAAGGCGTGGGGCGGACTCCCGACAGGGACTCGGCCATCAACTCGACGGCGGGCGGAGGATTCGGCGAGAGGAGCGCAAGGCACAAGAAAAGATACTACAGATCAAGGCGCAAGGCTACGCTGGACATGCTAAGGACCGATGAGCAAGACGTGCAAGGAGCAGAACAGATACTACAGATCAAGGCGCGGACGGCTGAGGACATCGATCGGCGGCAGGACCTACAACTACCAGACGTTGACGAAGAGACCCGAGAAGGAGAGCGACGCAGCGAGATCCATTTTCGCTAAGGACGAGGAGGAGGGAGGGAGAGCACGGAGAGCCTCACATTTCCTGGCGGATGCGGAAAAAGGTACAAACCGGAACTGTACCCAGTTGTGGGTACAGTAGCGGTTTACCTCGCCTATTTTTTTTACACCAACCCAGCAATATAGAGTCTGGGACGGAGTAACTAGGCTACGCGAAACACGCAACTCATTTCATTCCGCACCTCTTAGGCATCCATGTATTTATAGAGTTTTATTATTGCCTGGTTGTGTTGCGATCCACAACATGGACACATAATATATGTGATCTTAGAGGTATCTTTCATAACTGTTACATGTCAAATTGACCAACAGGTACCCCAAACTCGGCAACCTGACACACACAGTATTGCGCCGATACGCATCCAACCGACATGGATCGAAAGCCAAGACAGCATGCAACAAGGTTTCTCGTGCCCTTTTTGCTGAATAGGCCTAGATTTGTTTGTAAGCCGAAAAAACTGTCGATCTTCATAATCATGTTTTTCTTTCCTTTAGTGAACTCGTGTTGCTTGACCTGCATTTTCGCTTCATTCGCTAGCGGTAGTCGAGAATGGGAAACTGTTCTGTCTAGAGGAGACAATTTGCTATCGATTGTTGGTTTCAGCGTTTTAATATGTGCAATATTGACTCAACTACGGCCCAAAAGGTGACAGGTTAAAAAAACCGGTGTCACGAATTCTGAAGAGTACAATAGACATCTGGCTGTCATTTCTAAGATACAATATCCATTGTGCTTTGCACGCCCAGACTTTCCCGAAACTCTAAATCGCATTTGAATAATTCAGACGTGGCTTTAAAACAGACTTACAAAGTCGTAATTAGGCTCGCAACCGCCTACTAAACTGTCATTATCACTAGCTGAGCAGCTCGAGTCGAGTTGCTGGTGGGCCGACCTCTTACGTACAGTAAACTGTACATTTGACGACGTCCCCAAAGCATCAGTCTAAGCTTATCAGCGCTACTTGTCATCGTTGTGCGTTTTGAAGTGCTTAGGCTTTTCGCTGGGGCAACCATCCGAAAGCACAACGCTGCGTCGAACCTTATTTTCTCACTAATGAACAGCATTCGTTGCTGAGTCGAGCTAGGTTCGCAAAAACTTGAAACAAAGCGCAACCTCGGTCAGGTTGGCTCCCTTGCTACCTGTGCATGCAGTTTTGATTAAGAGCAACAATGCTGACAGGTGTTTTGATGCATGGCTGTGCAAGTAATGCCGCACTGGGATCAAGTTAGGCAGCTATTCTGTCCCCCAGCAGGTATTGAAAACCATCGCAGTAGTTTCTCTGGCTGTTCGGTGCCCATGATTATTATAGATAGCTAGATCTTTTTACTACATATATGGTAAAGGTGCTATATAAATGGCAGAAGCTTCTAGCAAGGCAGATCACTCGAATACGTGCCATGTTGCACCTAGAGTGATCAGCTGATAGCCGTGCACTCAACCTAGCTACCGAGCTTCGGATATGCAGCATGTCTGGCATCGCCCAGCACGTCTTCCTGCGCGGCATCAAAATTGCCAGCAACTCCTACGCTGCATCAAATCGTGTAGTACACGTAGCAGTGTCAGTTAGGCAGTAATGCAACAATTCGTCGTCGCATCCAAATCTTGCAGCTAAACGTTCCCGCCGAACACAAGCTCTTGGCTGAGGCAAGAACACTCTCATGTGCGAGATAGGATGAATGGAGCTGCTGGACGGTGGTTGTACGTACGGCAAGCTGCCCTTAAGCACTGTCATCGCTGATTCGCTGTTGCTGCGCAATCGCCTTAACCCCCCCCCCCCCGCACTCGCGGGGTTTTTCGGTCCCTGGCTTTGATCAAAATACACCGTGTTAAAGCTGTATACTACATGTTAAAAGTATGCGTATTTGATCTAACTATTGCCTTCCGTAAGTACGACACATTTCTATAACCTGCGGGAAACTAGTTGACACAGACAGACGCATATGTTGTCTAAGACGCCCTCGGATGGGTAGCTAAATTTCAACAGGGTGTATATACTACAACTTGCAGTGTCCTTTTTATTGATGGTGAACAAAAATCAAACACAAGGGCGGGTTTATGCTGGAAGTATCCTATGATTGCATCCCAACATACCAGGCTATGCATGCCTTGAAAACAAAAAAACCTGCTGTACCTAGCTAGCAATCAAGTGACACGTCTTCCCAACCGCGGGCTAATGATGGCGTCTTAGCATTATTATAGCGCACACCCTGTTCGGTTTTATTGGATTGGACCACCTCCCCAGGCTGCATTCTCTCTGAGGGGTGCATTTTAGTACCTACATGCGCAATATAACCCTTACAGAGCAAAATAGAGTGTCTACGGTGTTCATTCTTGCCAGCTTACCTCTTCTTTTTCATACCCTGGTATATCGGACGAGATTCATCTTGCATTTCGAGCCACTATGTAAAATCATGTATCATATCCTGTCTGATCTGATCAGAGTACCCAAGGCATAGTAGGGGTAGCACGGTCTCATACGCATGATGGGGAGAGCGGTTCCTGTTAGCAATCTGTTAGCAATCAAATAATCAGTCTAATCCACCATTCTCTGCAATTCCTACTCGTTCTTTGTGCATATTTTCACCTACACCTGTGCATTTCACGTAGAAAAAAATGTGCTGCTCTTTTTCATAACATGTAGTCATATATAACGTATGAGTGCGGGGGGGGGGGGGTTAAGATCGAATCCCAAAGGCGATTCAACGTGCTCATACCGCCGTGATACCGCGCGACGAAGGGGCGCTGTGCACTTATGTACCATTACTTTAAGGCCCTCCGATGACGATGCTCTAACTGAAAGTCTGTGAGGAGTCTCTTGGCCCCTCGTCCGAGGGGCCCACAAGCTCACTATACCCAAGTAAAATTCGGGGAGGTCAAGGACGCCGCCCCCTGCTATACATTGCAACCATAAGCCTACTTATTTCATCCAATCAATCACCAGACACTACGGTAAGGAGAGGTATGTCGGTACCAAGTCGATATAATGGGGACTTCGTCCCAAAAAGCATCTACATACCTAGTTCTATGCTGCGCCCAAGAGGGGTCCTACCGCTACCGAGCGTGCACCGTCATAGCGCCTAAGCTTGACGAGGCCTCGGGCCGCGTCCACGGCACGTCGTCGTCTGTGACCCAATCTGTGCCGTCATGAGTCGAATGTAGACCAATATCTACTCTGCTAAGGGTGCCCTCGTACTTGCAACTATGCAATTGGTGCAGTCCCTCAGCACCTCACTAAACCCGAGTTTGTGCCCAGCGTGCTCATAACTATACCTAAAGCACTGCAAAACACGGCTCGACGCACCGCATGTTGGGCTTACCACATAAGAAACGCGAATGGGTTGTAGTTACGGCTGCGCGCCTTGCTGAACGATGAGGCGCTGCTGCGTCCGCGCATCCGCTTGTGGGTCACGGCATCGTCTTGGTGGTGCTGTGGGCGGCAGACGGCCACGACCGGCGTTCAGGCAGGCCAGGGAGGGCACGCTTGGGGGATCGCTCGCGCTTCATGCTGCGCAGTGATCCCACCCCAGATTCTTGGCGTCTTTACACATCTGAGGGCCGTTCCTAACCGGGATCGCGATCCGGAACGGGTAGGGCTCTCGAGAAGATGGCTTCAGCCTGCGATCCGGGCCGTTTCTAACCGGATCGCGTCCTGGTACCCATGCAAGTGGTACATTTCCTTCAAGTTGCCTTCAAAGGCAATATGGCAGCAAGCGAGACGAACTCCGACGCGGAAGCAGCGCGCTCGTCGAGTAGCACGGCCGACACTACAGCTGCGCCCAGCTCGAAGTGGACTGTTACCGTGGCTCTGGACTCGCGCAAGCGTCCGATCCGCCCCCCCGACGTCCGACGACTACAAGGACTGGACGCTGGAGCAGCTGAAGCTGGAGTGCACGGCCCGCAACTTGAATGTGGCCAAGAACACCAAAAAAGATGATCGCGTCAAGATCCTTTGCACGTGGGAGTCTTGCTCGGCCGACAGCGACAAAGAGCAAAGCGTGGACGTGGTGATGATGACAAGCGCACGAAGGGCTGCATGTTTCGGCTTTTGAACGTGCTGTTCTCGATTCGTTTCTGCGATATTTTCCTGACGATTGGAAACCAGCTTCGTCGCGAGGAGCTCGACCAAGGCGGGTCCACATTCTGGCTTGACGTGGCTGCAGCTTGCTGCTCCGACACACGTGAATTTGACATAATTATTTCAGACGATGGCATCTTCGAAGGCATTGATGCTTCCTTCAAGATGGCACACTCGGCGGCCAAGCTGAAGCGGATGTGGAAGGAGGTCAGCAGCAACTTTGCGCGTGCTGAAGCTGGATCCAGGGTCTCTGGGCAGGGGAGTCATGACTTCTGGGACTTTAGTAATGGGCGTGCTGATGTCTTCTACCTGGATCGGTGGTGCGAGTATCGCCAAAGTGCAAGGGAGTTCCGCGCAGCTAATGTGTACGCAGAGGATGAAGAGGATTCGACGATGGAGGGAGAAGAGAGATGCCAGCAAGTGAATCGAAAACGGCGCCGAGGCTCGCAATCAGACGCTGTCGCAACTATTCTCGAATGTGTGAACGACCTGCTCGACCTGGAGACCAATGAAAGCAGCAAGACGCAAGAAGATACGTGGATTGTGCAAAATTATACCTTCAAGAGCAACGTGCAGCTCAGAAGCTTTCGACCATGTATGCTATGCTGGATCGCAACGCCGTCGGACGCAGCAACTCTTGGAGCAGCGTCGAGAGTATATCGCACAGGGACTTGATGCAGCTGACATCGGGCAGGCGCTGGAGGCGCAGCAAGCAAAGAAATCGATGCTCAAGGTCCAGATAAGCGCGCTTGAGCTGCAGATCCTGAACGGAATGCAGTAAATGCGGCCATCGTCATGCGGTTAGCGAGCGCGGGACCGGCGGAGGTTGAACGTTTGGATGTGGTTCATGATGACGTCTCGAAGAATGCGGCCTTGCGCGTCAGGACGCAGGGCAGCCGCGTGGTCAGAATTGTCGGTGGGATGATACCAGCTTTCGGACAAATTATGGTATTCCGTAGTAATTGCGCGCACACTCGCGCTTGCATCTTGCGTTTTAGTTCGCTCATCAATGCAAAAGTTATGGAGCTTCATGCATGTCTTGATCACCTTTTTCACGTTCACGAAGTCGACGACGAGAGGGCGCTTGAAGGTCTGCCACTTGTTGACGAGGAGACCGAACGCCATTTCAATCCGAATCCGCAATTGTGACGAAGCGCCCGTGCTTTTTGAAAGGCTCAGGTAGCTAGACCGCTCGACCTTGGTCTTCGCTCAGCCCTTGCACCACTTGGCTCAGCCCTGCTTAGCGCTGCAAGAGTTCCGCTCAGCACCTTCCACTGAGCGAACACTCCCACTCCACTTCGCTAGGCTTAGCCGCTTGAACGCTTGGCTCGGCTCCGACTCGGGTCGGGCGAGGCGTGTGTTCCTCACTCTGCGATCCCTTGGCGGTTCTTTTGATCACGGCTACGCTGTGGGCCCAAACTCGCGTTGGCCACACCAGCTGCTGTCGATGTTGAAGGTCTCCGGAGGTGTTCCCAGACGAAACTCGCTCCCCACTTGGCGAGTCCCAGTCCGCACGTGTCCACAGCCCGAAATGCCCCGGGTTTTCCTTAATGAACACAACACCAAACACAATATAGCCTCCACTTCCTCGCTTTGGTTCCGGCTCAGAACCACAACACCCCTTCTTTCCCGGTCGGCCTGGGTCTGGGCCGAGTTCGCCTTTATTTCTCTGAGCCTGGGCGAGGCTCGTACCAGCATCTCCTTTCTTCTCTTCGAGTCAAGCAACGACCCGGTCTGGAGTTAGTGACTCGGTTTGAGCCTAGTCCGAATCCAAGGCACTCACACACACCCTGGGACTACCCGCGCACCAGGTCCACAATGAACCGATACTAATAATCACACAATGCACCGGGGCACGCCAATGTCCCCAAGCACACAATACAATTACCCTGCCTAAACCTCAGAATGGATCACCTTCCACCCGAAAATATGAAATACACCCTAAGATGTAACAGTAATATGAAATAACCGTACTGCCGTCGCACCGAAGCACTCTGACAACGTTGATATGTTAACTTGAATTTGTGTGGATGATCGCCAAGACACCTTCTGGCCAAAGACCTCCACCACTTGCGTCCTTCGGGGCAAAACGAACTCTGTTTAAATGTTTGCACATGCACAAGCTAGGACTCACTAAGTGGGGGCGCGATATCCCCCTGGGTACCCACTGACTGGCTGCGCGAAGAGCGTCGGCTGTATGCTTACCGGGCGCCCTTGAAGATCCGCCCGATATCCTTGGTCTTGGCCAATGCGGCGGCTCCACGTCGGCGGGCGTCGTCTTGGAGCCGCTGGAGGCCGTTGAGATCTGCTTGAAGTGTCCGCGATCTTGGGCGGTCGCACCCAATGTGGGCTGGCTCATGGCTGATTCACCGGATGAGTGTACTCGCCGGTGCCACCAACTTCGCCGTCAGTACCACTGTCTGGACTTAAGTTCAGCGACTCTTCACCCGGCACTTCAACTGGACTCCGACAACTCCGCTCAGGCCCATGCCACTCCGCTCAGGTCTGCAACACTCCGCTCGGCTTCTCGACTTGAGCAAAGACTTCAAACATCGCATTCGAGGCCGGGCTTGGACGCCACGTCACTCCGCTCAGACATTCGACCCTCGCCCAGCTTGTCGACTTGGGTGAAGGCCCCACGATCACAGTAAGAGCTGGGCTGGGGCTCGGCACGACCTCGCTCGGACGCCTGCTCCTCGACTCATCTCAGCATCTTGGATGACGGCTCCACAACCGCTGGGGAGGTTGAGCTCAAACTCCACCCGGCTCCGCTCAGCTCCTCAACCTGAGCGGGGACTCTGGTCATCACACTCGAGGCTCAGCTCAAACTCCGCGTAGCTTCTCTCTGCTTCCTGGACTCAGCTCAGACTTGGGATACCCAACACCAGACATCTCGGGTCTCAGACAATCTTCGCTCAAGCCCAGAGTCTGAGCGGAGCTCCGCCCAGACCTCGGGCTCAGCTTCCTTCGTCGCACGGCTCGTGTCCGACAGTTGGTGGTCCAGATCCATCGCGGCCATGACGCACTTGAAGTCTGCTTGATTGATACGGGTCAGCATCCTGGATTGATACGGTCAGCTGGACATGGGTTCGGTGGCGAAATCCACCGAGCCTTTTCACACAATTGACTCAGATAGAAGTTGTAGTCGGAGTGTGCCTTGCTCTTGAGCTCCAGCTTGCTGAAGGGGACCATCAACGAGTCGGAGAGGGGGTACACGTTGTCCCCGATGATGTAAAAGCCCGCTGGTAGCTGCATGATTTCCTCTTGCAACTTCCATTTCTTGAACGCAATTGAACGCAATTGAATCGCCCACCTTGCCCGGCGAATTGAAGCAGTAGCCGGTGAAACGACTCAGCGAGTCGCAAATGACTTGAACGTTGAGTCCATACTTCTGGTAATGTCCGGAGAAAAACGCAGCAACGTCGGGAACCTCTCTTGCACTTGGAGCACGAATTTCACACAGCCACCCGTCGATACAGCCGACGCATCCAGTCAAGACACTGTCCTTGCTTATCGCCTTGAATCCATCGGCCAACTCGTACATGCGCTCCGCTGACTCAGTTGGCGCCCGAATGATCAGCTCCGGACAATCGCAAATGGCGTCCATTACGGCGTGCATGGTGATGTAAATGGCCGTGACGGAGGTGCCGCCCAGATTCCGCGTCGTATGGTACCTACTCCCCGCCAGCCATGAAATAGTCATCTGCAGCATCATTTCTGGAGAGATGGGGTCGGTTCCGGTTCGAGGGCGCGACTGGAGCTCGTCCCGGACTAGAGCAGGCCTGATAAAGGACAGAAGACGCTCAAAAGACTCCGCGCTCATCCTATAACAGCGCTGGAATTGTCCTTCCAGAAGCAGCGTCTGCTTGTGCACGGCCCAGTCCAAACGGTGTCGTAAGATGCACCCCGCTCGCTCTTTAGGGATCGCGTCAGCAGCCAATGCTAGTGCCGCCATCAGGCGGAGGCGGCGTCGGCGGCGACGGCGCAACCGTTCGCTACGTGCGCGCTCCAGCCACCTTGGAACAGTCATTTTTGCGACTGAGTGATCCGGCGATCCCGCTCGGCTCGCTATCCGAGACTCGGATCGCAGGGGTTACGCTGGGGGTACACAATCGGAAATAGTCGGGGGAAACGGGCTAATCAGAGGCCAATTTTGGGATCGCGATCCCGGTTAGGAACGGCCCTGATTACAATCTGAGTAGCTTCGTTCGTGTTCGGGCCGAGTGGCCAATTCGCAATTTGATACCCCTTTTGTGTTGATTCTTACATTGGAGTTGCTCCGTTGTCGACCGTAGCCGGTCTGCACTGTGCAAGGCTGGATATCCGTCGAAGTTTATGTTGCTGCTACCCTACAACTCACACGTCTTTCTTAGTTTTTAGGCGAGTCTCGTTGCAGTCTTTAGTTTCTGTATTCCTAACGGCCAGCAAGTACAGCGCGATCAATCGCCGAACGCTGTGCTGGTCACACATATCACAAGCAGAGTATGCACTGTAGTTAAATTGTTCCATCTTGAGTGGAGGACCGGCATTCCAGCTCAATATTGTGGTGCGTCCATTAAACTACATCACCTGCCTCTCAGCATATCGTCGATCGTTTGATTCACATCTCAAACCGCGCATAACCACACCGACTTAGTCGACCCGCACACCCTCGTAGTCTGCACTATCGGTAGCGGCCTTCGGCAGCGATGAAGTGTGCTTTGTTGACGCCTGCTCTGGATTAGAGATACAGAAGTCGCAAAAACTTTCTGTAACATCGACTTGACGCTAGATAACTCAGAGTTCTACATCGTAAGTAAGAGTCTAATCCAGAGTTTGCTTGCCTAATACAGACTTTTAAACAGAGTTTTGTTATTCAGTTTTGCTAAAACGGATGCAAAGCACAATACATGTACATGTTAGCAGCAGCAACAATATACCGTCCTTGAGTAAAACAAAATTATCGCTATTGAATAATGGTCGTTGGTGTAGACTGTTTGTTGAGAGCCGACTTCGAAGTCAGGAGACCTAAAAGGCATGGAAATGAGTATAGCAATTCTACAAAATCAAGTTGCAGGCGTCACAATTGAACATATAACCCGAATAACTCCAGAAAAAACACATTATGCATTCAACATGAACCGAAGCTCAGTCTGGCAGCTTGAAGCTGTGCCGTATGCAGCATGAATACATGTAGCGGTAGTGTGAGTTCATGTAGATCCACCACGGCAGATCGAGCAGCGTAAGCAACCCAGCAAATGGACGCATGGTACTTCACAGTACGAAAATAAGAGCATGTGCTAAAATTCAAGAACTCCTTCATGCAACACTCTTCTACGGCAAGCATTTTGCTACTACATAGTACTACCAGTAGTAAATAAAGTTTTTATACCGTGCAGGTTTTGGAATACAGTAAAAAAAAAAGCTACCGAACTGCGAACACCGCGGGCCAAAGCCCGCAAACCAGTTGAAGAGCTGGCCCAGGCGAGTTTGTCATCGAACGACACTCGCGCTACAGTCAGGCGACATCGTTACAGCACGCGGATTCACTTTGGACTGTACTGTATCTGTTAAGATGGATTTTACTGGGTGAAACATCTCTTTACAAAATCGAATAGGAAAAGTACTAGAGGCTCACCCAGAGAAGCCGGTGGTTTCCATTACTGAAAGGAAGAGGCGTAGGAGATGCGTTACCGTCTCCAGCATTGGGACAGGGCTCATGGCGGGTTGTTAAACATGTTCAATCTATCCATAACCTACTCGTTCTTCCAAGGACTGCCTAACACGGCGTCTAGTATGAGGCCTTGCGACATCTGGAAGGAGCTCGAGGTCATGTATGGGGGTGGGGATGCTGGTGGAGTACTCGCGCTGCGTCGGCAATGGGACCGATCCCTTGCCTCTAACTGGGACAATCTCGGAGATCTATTCACTTAGCTGAAGAAGGCGCGTAACGAGATCAACCGGAAGATGAGCACGCTGGTGGGTAAGGAGATGGTTACTGAGCACTGTCTCTGCATGGAGGTGCTGGGTCAACTTCCAAGTATGTTTTGTGAAAGAAGCATCACCATGACGGAGGAGTGGTTTACGGTGGAGAACATTGAAGTTAGTATTCGGCGTTTCTTTGGAGGTAAGTCGAATAAGTAGATCATGGATCTCACGTACAAGCGACGCTCGGTGGTGATCAACGTGGCAAAGAAGGTCACCGGGAAGAAGAGGATGCAGGATCAAGCAGAGGCTCCAAGCTCGGGCTGCTACGACTGCTTTGAAGATGGCCATCGCAAGAAAGAGTGCCCCGTCATCGCCAAAGATCGCGATCCAGAGCGAGCGGGTGGTTCACTGTTCCGCTCAAACATCTCGACGGCGCCTAGCTCGAAAAAGAAGCAAGTGATAACGATCAAGAAAGGAAAGAAGCCGGAGGCAGCCGAAGGTGAGGAAATGACTCAAGCTTAGTCCAGTGAGTACGAAGACAAGCTGAAGAAAGCAATTGAGGAGACGGACCAGTATGAGTTCAAGGAACCGCTTCCCGTGAGTGATGGCGATAAGGAGGAGAAGCCATTCACCCAAATGGACATCGACAATGAGGTACGGAAGCGCTTTAGGGGAGGGGGGGTATCCATGCTAAAGCAATTGGAGGTAACTGACGACCTGTAGGTAGCTGACACAGGGGCAGGAGCTGCTATAAGTTCGGACAGGCGGTGGTTCAGTCACCTAGGGAGAGGTAAACCTCAAACTTTCGAGTACGGGAACCGGAGTACCTCAAAGAGTGCACTTCAAGGAACAGTGAGATTCAACATACTCAAGCCTTAGGGTAACTACAGTTGTATCTCAATAAAGAATGTTGCCTTTGACAAGGAGTGTGGTAGTAACTTATTGAGTGCATACTGCCTTGCTACACAAGGATACCGGCATATTCAGGCGAAGACGGGCGAATATCTGTACTTCCTGGATAGTAATAACCGATTTGTGTTTGCTGCTGTAGCAATCGATGAGGTGTACTATCTCCCAAGTTGGCGACTTCGTGATACTACGAAAGTACTATCGTAAAAATAGTAATCCGGTGTTAATTCATAATGCAATGAAGGAATGGCATTTGCGTTTGGGACATGTGGAAAAAGACCCACTGATAGATATTCTGTCCGGTGGGATAATCGATGGAGCACTGCGTCTCGCAAGGAAGGATATGACAAGAGATAACTTCTTTTGCCGTACATGCGCTTTAGCAAAATCAAGGAGAATGTCATATTGGAATATGATAGGCACAAAGGCAACAGTGCCTCTCCATACACTTCATCTCGACTCACTGAGAAAGATGAAACCTGAGGGGTTAAATGGTACGGCAGGGTTTAAGTACACATTGGCAGTGGTGGACGATGCTACCGCTCATAAGCGGTATTTTGTGATGAAAATTGCTCAAGGAGGTTGGAAGCGAGTTAACAAATCTTATGATACAACAGGCAATTTCTCATACAAAGACGAAAAATCCGAACTGATGGAGGTACTCATTTCGTGAATTTGTGGTCAAAATGTACTGCGATAAGAGAGGTCTCTTATTCCAGAGATTAAATGTAGAGGAGGAACTTACTTAGGTATTTGACAGCATTTGCTATATCAGGTCGCGTTCCACGAACAAGATACATCAAAGACCCCACTAAACCTCTGTAATCGAATGAATGAGTTGCTATTTGCTCCGGACTCATATTTTCTTCCTTTTCAAGTACTACACTTTTGGCCTGAAATGTTGGGTCTGAGACACACTTAGTCATATCAAACTTTTGTAGGAAGTCCATGATATACTTATGTTGGGACATACTAAGGATCTTGTTAGCCCTGTCTCGCTTAACCTTCATTTTGAGGATGTATGCGGCTGGGCGATTGACGCAAGGCTGCGCTTGGCTCGGACCTTCGCGAAATCGAAGAGGAGCTTGCGTTCAATGCGAACATCCACATCACTGAAGCTGGCTCGGAGAGCATCCATGGAGCTGAGCTTCCGGCTGTGCTCGGCCCAAGACTCGAACTGAGCTTCGTACTCAATTGAGTCTTCCCCCGGGCTAGGAACCACGGGGTACGTCCGCAAGGCGGGCACCGACCTCTGCTGGGCTTGGAGCCAGAAGCTCTCGCGATACTCCGCGACAGTCGTAGACTGTGGAGTGAGGAGTCGCTCTCGGAGAGCGTTCGTAGAGCGAGCTCCTGTGAAGTACGGGCCGCGGGTCCAATGGCGTGCGCTGCGAGCGACTCCAGGAACGCCTGGCGGCACACCTCCGCGGGGTTGCGAGGCCGGAAGCCGTAGTCGGCAGCGCTGGGGTTCAGCAGATGGGGTTCAGCAGAGGCCGCAGCTCGGGGCGCTGGGAGCGCATGGGAGCCATCTGCGCCTCAACTTGCTCGGACTGTGCTTCGTCCAAAGGGTTGGAGATGACAGGGCCCAGGGGCACGTCCTCACCACGAGGTGGCGAATACCGTGGCTCAGTGAGCGCGCACAGCTCGTAGAGACCGGAGCAGCGTTCAGGGAACGGGTTTAGAGTTCGCAGCGGTGGCCGCGTCTCCTCCCTCGACGGCGCAGCGGACTCTGCAGGCGGACGGCTCGGCGAGCGCACAGGAGACGTGCGCGCGGGGCGCTCTTGATCGCGACGGCTCGGATAGCCAACTGGGGCCGGCGAGCCTTCTTCACGGCGTGTCGACGGCGTGGGCGAAGCGTCGCGGCGGCTCGGGGAGCGTTGCGCGGCTGGGGACGCATCTCCTCGGTTCGGAGAACCCAGCATGGACTCGTCCACCTCGCCCTCTTCACCAAAGAGTTCCCTAGGATCCATGATCTGGCGGGTTGATGCTCGAGGGCAGCTGGGGATTGCGCGCTGCGAGCTGTGCTTCTGGCGGTGCGCCGCGAAGTACTCGGACACCGAGAGCCTGGAAGGCGTCGAGGGTGTGCGCGCGGTCGCCGGCGTTCGCGAAGGTGCGGAGGCACGCAGTGCAGCAGCACAAGAGGAGCGAGGCTCCGAGGCGGATCTCGCGAGAGGCTGTCTCTGGTCGAAAGACCAAAAGGCTTTATGACTTGAAGTCATGTGAGGGCGCTCTGCGCCGAGAAGTTCTCAGAAAAGTCCACGAAATGTGGATTGACTCGTTCGAGAAGGAGGCTTGACGGAACAAGACCCGGAGGTTGGCTGTTAAGCGTGAACACCCGTGTCCACGGTTTGGTGGGGGATGGTGTAACGGGGTTACAAGAGAGTTACCCGAAGGGTTACGAAGTGGGTACACATTGTCTAACCTAAATTAGTAGGATAATCAGTACATGGCTTCAGAGTCACTGATTATGCATATGACAAGGGTTCACTATGCTAGATAGTGAACCGGATACATTTACACCGTAGGCGGCTTTGACGCAATAAAGGAAAATACATTCAGTTTGAGATTCACACAGTTAAGAGTTAAGGGTTGACTCTTGGAGTCCGTAAGGTGTACGGACTCACACGTTCTGGTATTAGAACGGGCTATCTTAAGCTGAGACTCTGTGAGTCTGTTACGTCTTCCTCTGACGCTAAAGCTACGGTAGCCCCGCTGCATATATGACTGCGGTGGCTAACAGAGTACCTGCTGCACCGACTAAAGGAAAGACACCCTATGAGACTTTCATACGGGACAAAACCGAATGAGTTAGCACTAAGGATATGGGGGAGTAAGTGCTATGCGCGCATACCAAAGTCCAAACGGGTAAATAAGAAGTTCAGTGATCGCGCCACTGAGTGCAAACTTTTGGGGTTTTCCGAAAATTACAAAGGGTATCGACTATTAGATATCAAGGGAAACCGGTACCTCATAGCCCGGTACGTGAAGTTTGACGTAACGTCCACGGCCAGCTTAATTGTCCGGTCTTTTCCATCAGCCAAGATTAAGGTAAGTGAGGACACAATCAGGAAGATATTTGGGCTAGGTAAGCGAGCGCGTGACACAGTTACCAATGCGCCGGCTAAACAGAGACGGACTGAGGAGTCCTCACCTGCGACTCCAATGAGTACAGGAGCAGTGGGAGCCCAGGGTGATAGTGAGGTAATACCTCCCATTCCAAGGCCCCGCTGCAAACGAAGGCCAAATACTCGATTAAGAGACAATGTAGTGGCCATCAACAAAGTCACAAGAAGCATAGAGGTGATACATATTCCAAAATCAATCGAAGAGCCTAAACGAGATAAACAGTGGGAGGCAGCCCTCCAAGTTGAGTACCGAGCACTAGGCGAGAATGGTACATGGGAACTTGTACAATTACCCAAAGGGCAGAAATTGTTAGGATGTCACTGGGTATTTGACATAAAGAACAACGCTGTTGGGACTGTTGACCGGTTAAAGGCCCGAGTGGTAGTAAGAGGAAATACACAAATTCACGGTGTAGGCTACAATGAGATTTTCTCCCCGGTCGCGAGATATGAGTCGTTGCGATTGCTACTCGCTATAGCAAATAATAAGGATTTACATGTTCACCAAATGGATGTGTCTACAGCGTTCCTCAACGGAACGTTATTTGAGGATATCTATATGCAACAACCTCAAGGGTTTCGGCACGGGGATTGCTCGACCATGTGTAAGCTCAAGAAGAGCCTATATGGACGTAAACAGGCGCCATGTGCTCCTCAATAAGTTCCTGGTACGACTTGGGTTTTCCCGGTGCAAAAAGGAGTACTGTTTGTATCGTCAAAAGTGGGAGGTAAATGGAAAGTCGCACATAGTACTAATCTGTGTGTACGTGGATGATATTACTATCGCCGCGAGTAATATGATACTCATGGAGAAAGTTAAGGCAAAACTTGCGTCAAGGTTTACTATGAAGGACTTAGATGAGGTAACCAGCGCTGCGCGCTTCGCTCCTTCGAGCACTCCAGCCGCTCCTTCCCGCGAGGGAGTGAGCGCTGTGGCTCAGGGTCAGCCTCGGAGCAATGTGGCTGACCCAGCAGCTCCCCAGCTTATTGCCGGGAAGCGCGGGACGGCCGGCGTGCCGGCCTTGAGACCTCGGGGCGCTGGTGATCAACCTGATCAAAAGCGTCCACGACGTTGTGGAGAAGCGCAAGTCCCAAGAATGAGTGCTGGCAAGTAATTGGATGATTGATGGATCTGGACCTCGCCACAAATGCGGAAGCGTGACAGGCCCAGCTGGATCCAGATGAATCTGGATCTACGCCCACGGAGATCCAAGATCCAAGATCCACGAATCAGATGGATCTGGATCCGGACTCAGATGGATCGGGATCTACGTCGACAGAGATCCAAGATCCTCTGGATTCAGGCGTAATCAGGAAGTTGTGGACACGACTCGACGGGCAAGCAACTGACACACAATGAAGGTAAAGGGAGTCCATAGAGTTGGTAGGTACAGATCGGATGATAGGAGCCACATGGCGATAGAACTTTGGGATAGGAGCGAACTTAAGCATAAATCAGACCAGAATTTGCCTTGTACAACGCAAGCGCTTCCTCCCTCGCCTGGAAACGGGAACGACATTGGCCCCACTCGGCGTAAAGAGGTTAGCGGTAGCAGATCTAGTGTTGGTTGTAAGACTGGAGTAATATATTGGTCAGATCCAAGACCTTCCTAGTGAACTACCTGCAAGTGCAGATCCAAGATCCACCGGAGTTATCTGTTTGGCCGGTGCGTCCCTCTCGTCTCAACTGTCAACGACACCGTCATTGGAGGCGGCAAACACGACCAAGAAAGACCTGCGATGTAACGGGGTTACACGCACAAGTGGCTACAGTCACTTGTAACTCTAACAGACACGGCGTCTGTTAGAGGTTCGAAAGACTTTCTCGTCCTTGGTGTAGACACACCAAAGGCTACATACATTTAGGATCACCACGACGGGTGGTCCATAGAGACTTAGGATTCCTATTGGTTGGGAGCAGCATCTTTTAGCCGATGAGCGACATGCATAGCATTGGAATTCTGCCAACCAGCCGTTGGCAGATTCCTATCTTAGAATATTACATTTAGAGGAAGTCAGAAACATAAAACAAAAATAGCAGTTCTTATTTTAACCCAAAAACATTATTTGGATCGTTTATTTAGATTAATCTATACTCGGAGGCCCGAGTATAATTAACTCTAATTTAAACTAAGCTACGCTTCCTCACATACACGCGCACACGTGTAAGCTAAAGTAGTGAGCCAAAGTAGGCCCATAGGCAACGTAAAGGACAACAACCTCTAAAGGCAACAACCCGGCCGGATCCAGATCCAGGCCTCCAGATCCAAGTACAAGACCACTGGATTTGGAATACTACCGCGAGCAGAGTGAAGATTTTCGCGCTGCTCCACCCACATCCCCGCGTCTCGCCCAGACTGTTCTGTCTACAAAGCTCGGACGCTTCAGCAGACACCAGAGGAGCAGATCCAGCCCTACCGACGGGTACACAAGGTGGCCAGTTCAGCACACAGATCACGGATCATCGGGGGCCCCTCCGTAAGTCGGTGTTCGGGCGCAGTTGGTAAGTTGGATTGGCAATCTCGTAGATTTTGCTGATCCCGCTACGCCA